ACATTTTAGGAAAATATTGATCGGTTATATTTAAGGGCATCCCTCTGTGTAAATTTGCCTTATGTCTCCTATTGATCAGGGTGAGCTTATGCATCATCACTGGTCCGGTAGGCGCAATTGTACAGTGATACTAAGTAAAGATTATAGTAAAGTCATAGAGAGCATGAAAGATAGAGGAGAGATTGAAATAATGGAGTCAGACACATTTCATGGTAGCATGCTCACCTTAGCCCCGCTTGGTGGTCCTCATGGGGAGCGCTCGGGAGCAAGAGCAGGAGAGCCCCACTCTATTGCTAACCAAGGGCCATCAATACCTAGAGGGGCGTGATTATCAGTAACCACAGGTCACAGGAAGGGGCAGTACAATAGGCATACACATCATAGGAAGGGAATGTACGATAGACATAAGCATGACAGGAAGGGGATGAGCTAGGGGTGTGCCCATAGGAATGGGAGGGACTAGAGGTATACATGTGACAAGATGGGCGGACCCTAGATTCATGATGGCGCCCTAACCTTAGTCACCCTTGGGTGGGCTTGACCTCTCAGGGGTCTCCTACAAGGAAACAGTCAACTCCTATCCTTATCAGAAGGAAGTGGGTCCTACTTGTTGTGGGATAAACAGTGGTGACTGCTTGCTCTGGATGGCTGATAATCCTTAGGGAGAATAACCCCTGACCTACTTCTGTTGACCTCCAAGTGTTTAGTCATTCGCCATGTGTAGCAAGCAGCTAAGTTTGGCAAATATTGGGGGAGACAAATTGGGAGAAGTCTTTCTGTTCCCCACACTGAAGGAATGGGTAGTGTTTCTTTCTGTTGTACATAGGGTTACTATGAGGCAGAACCAACTTGTTGACACCTAACAACAACAACAACAACAACAACAACCCAAATTAACACAGACAGATGTGGAAACTCCCAAGAAGAAATAGATCTGTTAATTTTTTTTAAAACTCCAAACATCTAAATGTTCAGGACCAGATGGTTTTAAGGTGAATTCTATGAAGCATTTAGAGAAGAGTTGACACCAATCCTACGTGAACTAGTATTGCACAATATACAAACATACAGTGCACTACAAAACTCATTTTATGAAGCAAGTATAACCCTGATAACTAAGCCAGACTAAGACATCACCAGTATTGAAAATTATAGACCAATACCACTGATGTACAGATATCAAAATTTTCGACAAAATTCTATCCAACAGAATTCAAAAAAGCATAAAAATTAATATATCGTGATCAAGTGCGATTAACATCAGGTATGCAAGATTCATTTAATATTAGAAGAACACTCAACACAATCCACCACAGAAATGAAATAATAAAAACCATATAATTATATCAATTGATGAGGAAAAAGCATTTGATAACATTCAACATCTATTCTTTATAAAAACATGCAAAGTAATAACAGAAGGAAAATTCCTCAATGCAATAACCAACCGCTAGCAGCCCACTTAATGGAGAAAAGTTGAAAACATTGCCCCTTGAAACGGGAACCGGACAGGGGTGTGGTGAGTAACACTGAAGTCTTAGCAAGAGCTATAAGGTATCAAAAAGACATTAAAGGCAACTATGTTGGCAGAGAAGTAGCAAAACTCTCTTTATTTGCAGACAATATAATCCTATACATGTGGGAGTAACCCCCCTCCCCAAAACACACACACACACACACACACAGAAAAGAGGTGGAGCAGACGGAGTGTGTGCAGTACGCATTTTCCCGCTAGGTGAGCATGAGCAACTCTGAATTAGTGCACCCAGTGGTGTCTCCTGGGAAGGTTCTCTCTTGTCACAGTGACTTTTGCGTAAAAGCAGCTTCACTCTAACCACTTTTTTGGAGATGGCCGACTTAAGAGAACAGTTTGCAGCTGGGAGATTTTGTTTCCTGCTCGGGAAAAATGCCGCAGAAATGGTGTGATGTTGAACACAGCTTACAAGGAGAGCACTATGGGAAAAATGCCAGTGTATGAGTGGTTTTCTCATTTCAAAAAAGATGAAATGTTGATTGAGGACAAACCCTATTCTAGACGCCCTTCAACTTCCTGAAAGGAAGAAAATGCATTTGGAGTTAATTCCACTGGATCAGACTGTTAATCAAGCCTTCTATTTAGAGGTTCTGAAAAGATTACGTGACAGTATGTGACCAAAAAGGACTGATTTGTGGCAGTTGGGGGGACTGGTTTTTCCACCATGACAATGCATCTGCTCACGCAGCCATCTCAGTGGACCAGTTTTTGGCAAAATCAGCATGCTTCTCTGGCCCCACATACCTGACCTGGATTCATGTGACTGCTTTTTGTTTCTTCAAATAAGAAGGACAGCAATTTTAACACGTAGAGAAGTGAAAAAAAAAAAAAGAGGGATGTGCTCTCAGCCATCCAAACAGATGAGTTTGAAAACTGTTTCTAAGAATGGAATAGCAGATTAGGAAAGATGACATGGAGAGCACTTTGAAGGAGATAAGGTTGTTTCATAAACAAATTTTAATACATAACTTTGAAAAAAAAACCTTTTTTTTTTTTTTTTAAGTTATCCCCTTTGTGAAAAATCCCAAAGATTCCATTTAAAAAACAGTGAACCTAATTGAAAATGTTGGCAATGTAGCAAGCTGTGAGCTCAACAGCCAGAAATCAATTGGATTCTTGTAGAGTAAAGCTGAATTCTTGTAAAGTAAAATGAAATTAAAAGAACAATATTATTTACAGTAACTACTCAAAAGATAAATATCTAGGAATAAATCTTACCGGAGGGGGGAAAACGTATACAAAGAGAACTATAAAACATTTCTGCAAACAAACAAAAGACTCAAGTACAATGTCCTATGTTCCTGGATAAGAAGATTAAAAACAGTGAAATGTCAATATTCCCCAAATACTTTATAAAGTCAATTACGATCCAAATCCCAAAGCAATTACGATCCAAATCCTAGCACAATTCTTCAAAGAAACAGAAAGCTAATAACCAACTTTACCTGGAAAAGAAAGAAACCCAGGATAAATAAGACACTACTAACAAGCAGAAACAAAGTAGGCGAACTCCCAGATATTAAACCCTATGATGTAGCCACAGCTTGGTATTGGTTTAATGACAGACACGAAGCCCAATGGATTAGAACTGAGAACCCAGACATACAACCAAGTACCTACAGAGATCTGATCTTTACTAAAGGACACGTTAAGTGGGGTAAGAGATAGACTTTTCACTAAATAGCAGAGGAAAAATGGGATCGCCACCTGAAAAAAAAGGAAACAAAATTAACCCATCAAATCACGTGAAAGAAAAGGTATTGAAGATGGATTAAAGATCTAAATATAAACCTTAGATCCCTGAAAGCCATCAATGAAAAATAGGGGCAAACCTAAGGGCAGAATACACTACTAAACTGTGGAAGACAAAAATGGAGGGAGTACTAAGACCTCCTAAAAATACTACACCTATGCACATCGAAAGACTTCATCAATAAGGCAAAAAGAAGACCTACAGCCCAGGGGAAAAATCAAGCAATGATATATTAGTAAAGGGTTAATTTCAAAAAATCTGTTGGAAATCACAGCACCTCAACAAGAAAAATAACAAATAACCCACTCAAAATTCGGTACAGGACATGAATTCGCCATGTCATCCAGGCAGTCAACAATCATATGAAGAAATGTTTGCATTCATTAGCTATAAGAGAAATACATATTAAGAAGTTTGTGCCCCCGCCTGGGTCCAGATGGAGGGGGAAATGGTCAGCCCCATGGGGCTAGCAGGGTGGGGGAAGTGAGCCTGCTGGGAAGGAGTTGAAAGTCGTGTTCCACTCTCTGACCGGCCACTCCACAGCCCATGTAGGCCCTGCCCTACCGTGACCCCAGGTGGCCGCCGGACCCGACAAGGACTTCCAATAGTAGCCAGACATTAACATCCTGCCACACTATGGGGCCATGCATCAGATGGATTTTTCCAGCCCTTCCTCATGCTGAGCCAACATTCTAAAATCTGGAAAACTGCTGGCGATCACCGAATTCCAGCTCCCACATTGGTGCTCTGCTCTGTCTCAGACTATGATGCCGCTGTGTTTACTAAAGATGTCAGAGACGCGAGACACGAAGAAATAAAAGTGGAAGGTGTAGCACCAAAGTCACCATGCTCCTTGATTCAGTTTGCGTATGCCCAGCCACCTTGAATTGAAAGAAGGCCATCTGGAGGGCCTGCCTGTCATCCACAGCTTGCGTTCGTCAGCTTTCACAAGTTGTAGAAGCATGTTGGAAGTATTTCATGAACGAGTTCCACCCGTTTGTCCGCAGAGGCAAGCGGTTGTACAGATTTGCTAAAATGACTCACAGCTGTACGATGGAATATGTCCTGGAAGTAATTAGAAACCGAGATCTCAGTAAACATGTGGCTTATATTAGGCTCCCACTTCCGGCACCACAGTTCCTGACAGATACGTGAAATAATGCACTTTGGGGGGATGATATAGAGTGTCCGATCCTCATTATGGAAGCAAGGAAATACTCTTTATTACTAAAGATGGCCCGTGTTACCAAGTCCTTTAGCCAAACCTTGGAAGTCAATGGTTGGGACATCATTTGCTGTGGGTGGCAGGAACTCAACAACAGGAGCGACAAGCGCTGAGAAGAACAAGTACGATCCCCAGACCAATATGTGGACTCCTGTCGCAAACAGGAACAAAAGGCAGCTATAATTTGGTGTTGCCATGTTAGATGACAGATTGTATGTGGTTACAGGCAGAGACGGACTGTAGACTTAGAATACAGTAGGACCCCCACACAACCCCAAAATGAAAGCATGGAGGCATGGTCTTGGTGTGGCTGTATTGGAAAGTCCCGTGTGTGCAGTAGGAGGGCATGATGGCTAGAGCGATCAGAATCCAGTGGAAAGATGAGACGACAGACTTGCCAGTGGACCATTGTTGCCACTATGTCCACCCCCAGGAGCACAGTAGGTGTGGCAGTCCTCTGTGGAAAATGTATACAGTTGGTGGTCAAGATGGACGTTCTTGTCTCATGTCAGTGGAATGTTCTGATCTCTATACCCGTAAGTGGACAGTGTGTGCACAGATGTCAAAAAGGAGAAGTGGCGTATGAGTAACTACCTGGAACGGGTGTGGGGGGCTGTATGCTATTGCTGCTGCCTGCAACTTGACCTCCAGGCTCTCAGACGGTGGGGAGAGATATGATCCCCAAACAGATATGTGGACGGCAGTGACTTCTTTGAGCATCAGGAGATGCTGTTGTAGATCTGTTTGGTTGGTGATAAGCTGTATGCTGTTGTCCGGTATGATGGACAGACCTATCTTACTATGTGGAGGTTTATGATCCTCAACCAAACGAGGGGGCCCAGGTGGCTCCACTGTGCCTAGGAAGAGCCAGGACTTGTGTGGTGACTGTAAAATTTTAATTTCCCAAATGAAGCTATTCTCCTCTTTTATGATCCTAATCCAATCATTCTGCTGTCGATGGATACCGTTCTACTACACTGACTGTGCTGCATCCCTGGACACAAAGTCCCCTATCACAGGTGAAGATGTTAAACCATGGGAAGAAGGTGCAAACAAGCCAGGATGAAATACTGTGGTATCTTATGCAAATCAAAACTGCAGCTGGTGGACTGTGAACATCTGTTCTTGACATAAAAAGGAAGCCAATAGCACTATTCACAGCAAAACCCAGTGGTATCTGGAAGTCCCATGTATTCTTAGCCAAGCATTTTACTCACATTATCCAGATTTTTTTTTTAAGTTCAAATACACCAGTTAAAACTTATAAGGTTCTGCTGCATTGTTTTTTATCATACATACATTTATCATACGATACTAGTTGCAGTACATTTTGCTTGTTTGTTTTCTTGGTTATTTAACCTCAATCACTATTCTAACGACACAGTCTCTACTTTATGTCTCAAATGACATAAAGACTCTACTATGTAATATTTCCTAAGCAGGGGCATTTTTGTGTGTGCGCTCTTGTTGTGGATTTTATTTCTAAAATGGGTTTAGTGCCAGTAGTAAAGAAAACCATTGAGCCATCAAAGAACAACGACCAAATGAAACCTTGACACAATCTTTGGGAACGACTCAAATATTCATTCCGTTTCATGGAGACTTGCCAAGAACTAGATGTTATTCCTATAGTGAAGTGCGGTACTTTACATTGCATTTAAGATATGCAAATGTATGTAGAGAAAATAAATGCTATATACTGTAAAAAAAAGAAAAGAAATATACTGAGATAGTTTATTGTGCCAACCTGGCCGATAAACATATGTGGGGTTAATTGAAGGGCGGAGGGATAAATGGCT